ACATCTGCAGGCAGCAGGAGAAAAAGTCAAACACTAGGCCCAGTTTGAGCTTTTGAGAACTAAAAGTCCATCCCATAGGGAAATATTTCCTCCAGAAGGCTACTTCCAGTGAACCTATTGGTCCACCACAGGGGTCAGGAAATAGAATGTGGTGTTTGAATGAGAATGGCCCCCTAGGATCAGATGTTTGAACACTTGGTTCCCAGTTCCTAGTGCTGTCTGGATAGGCTTAGGAGGTGTGGTCTTGGTAGATGTCACTGGGTTGGCATTTCTGTAGCTCAAACTGGATTCCACACTCTGAGGATGCCCTTGAGTTCTGATCCTGTAGTGAGAGCCACCGGCTAGCTTTACCCGAAATAACAACACACAAACCGTATTCATATAAACACTGCTTGGCCCATTTCTATTAATGTGTGTAAGCACCACAAGATGGTGACTTATCTTGCCTAACCCATATTTAGTAATCTGTGTAGCACCAGTCTTACCGGGAAAAATTCAGCATGTCTGACCAGGTGGCTTGCTTCATCGCATCTGCCCTGGAGAGGAGCGGCATCGCGTCTGTCTGAGGCGTCTTACCTCACTGCCTTCTTCCTCCCAGCATTCTGTTCTGTTTACTCCACCCACCTATGTTCTAACCTATCAGGCCAAGCAGTTTCTTATTTAATTATCCAATGAAAGCTATAGATATGACACTCCCACATCATTTCCCCTTTTTCTGTTTAAACAAAAAAAAAGAAGGCTTTAACTTTAACATAGCAAAATTACATATAGCAAAACAGTTATCAAGTTACAATATTTATATCTATTTTATCTTTTACCATAACAAAGGAAAACTATAACTATAACTAACCATTCTTCAACTCCATCAAAGACTCCAGAAGGATACAATATTACCTAAGTAAATGAGAAGTAAGCAACTTACAAAACTCTAGAAATGACAGAGACATCTCGCTTCCTAGACAGTCACCCAAAGTTCCTCTGTACTGTTGGGGCATCCATCTTCAGCCTACAGGCCCATAGTATCCAGCAGACATTTCCATGAAGCAGGAAATTTCAAAGGCAGTCAGTCATTATCTGCCGTGTCCTGCAGAATGTCTCGCAGACACTTTCATGAATCAGGAACCCCGAAAGACCACCTTTAGGAAAGTTCAGCAGTCCTCTCTCTGCGGGTTCTTTGTGTCCAGTTTATGCAATAGTCCAGGCAAGAACAGTTTCTTGCCCAAATGGCTATCAAACTCCATAAGGAGCCTCTTCGATGCCCATCTTCCTCTTGAAGTTGATTGGTGCTGTCAGGAGCAGACATGTCTCATTGTCATAAAAAGCCCTAATTTATTAAAACATTAAATGTCATATTCTGTAGTCTTTGAAAGATATGAAGAATGTCTATCTAAAATATATCTATGCACATCTAGAAAATCTAACTAACATGACTACAAACTTGACTATTACTAATGATTATCCATTAACAACCTATATACATTACATTTTTACATGAACTACACAATCAAAATACCTTAGTCAAGGTCAGAAATACATATACATATAACAAGATTGACCGTAAATTTATATCAATAAAGTCAAATCCATACCAATGCAAATTATTCATAACTATATCATATCCCCCTTTAAATGTAAAAGAACATTTATAAAAAATATTTGGGAATATGGGCACAGTTTTTTCTCTCCAAACTGCTTCGTGCTAAATAGGGGCGCTGTTAATCGGGTCTTTCATGGTATAACGTGTGTGCAAGATTCATCTCAGTCAGCAGTTGAGTGAAGTAATTTTTTGAGGGTGTTCACAGCAACCCTTTCAGGAGGGCATAGTCCATCATACCATATTTGAATAGAAGCAATCCACAGGGTCTCACCCTCTGTGAAAACAAAAGAAGAAACTCCTTTCCAAAGCATCATGTCCTTAGATCCAAATTTTAAAGTCAAGGTATTTTCAAAATATCTATCTTGGATTAGTTCAGCAGCATTTATAAACAAATATCTTTTAGCAGCTGGTGCTCTTTCCTCAGCATTCAAACAATTCAAAGAGAACATAATAGCATACAGTATCAAGCTTCTCTGTGTATTTTCCATCTTTGTGCAGCTTTGTTTTAACCTCTATTTTGTTTATCTTTACTTTTAACTTTTTGCTTTTTGAGACAGGTTCTCTGTATATCTTTGACCTGGAATAACTCTGTAGACCAGGCTGTCCTTGAACTCTCAGAGATCCACTTGCTTATGCTTCCCAAGTGCTGGGATTAAAGGTGTTTGCTACCACACCTTGAACTCAACAGAGATCTGTCTGTCTCTGCCTCCCAGGCATTGGGATTAAAGGTGTGTGCTGACACACCTTGAGGTCACAGAGGTCAATCTACCTCTGCCTCCCAAGTGTTGGGATTAAAGGTGTGTACCACCACACCCAACTACTCTTTCTTTCTCTCTTAACTTTAAGAACTTTAACTTTTAGCCTGCATATATTTTTCAAACACTGTAAATCATTTAGAGATTTTTTTTGTCTTTGAATCTCTCTTTACTGTATATGTCTCTCTTTTTCTGACCACATGAGCCTTTAAATTACTGAGCAATATGGGTAGGATTAAAGCCATGGCTTTGCAGGCTAGATCCAGCCCATTCCTTAGTTTTCCAGCCTCATGGCTGAGGTACTGGCTGTAGCCATGTTTATTGCCACAAGTCTATGGTGTTTCAAGGTCCCTGCCAGCAAGCAAGCTGCAACAGTATGTCCACAGACCACACTCAAGTCCTCTCTCTGTAGCCTCAAACAGTCAGAGTTTGCCCTGGCAGGACGGCCCAGAAAGCCAGCATTTTTAAACAGCGCAGCTTTTTTCCTGCTATGGCTGAAAACTGAAAATCATGTGTTCAGCTTTTCATCAACACCGTTTAAGTGTTTTGTGGCAGGACCTCTTAAAAGAGCTGCAAGGTTTGTAGCTAAAGCTGAGTCAGGAAGCCTCTCTTAGATGAGAGCACTGGCTTGCCTCTAGCAAGCAGAGTAGACCCGAAAAATTGCTGCTACCAAGAAAACATGCTTTACTCTATTCTTTCCCAAGCTTTTTCAAGCTTTCTGTGGATTCAGTTGTCCACCCATTGCGCAGCCATTCTGAAGATGGAGCTGTGGGCTGCGTTCCTGCGCCTGGCTCCCAGCCACTGGTTAGCTTTACCTGAAATAACAACACACAAATTGTATTCATATAAACACTGCTTGGCCCATTTCTATTAATGTGTGTAGCACCACGAGGTGGTAACTTACCTTGCCTAACCCATATATTTAGTAATCTGTGTAGCACCAGTCTTACCGGGAAAGATTCAGCATGTCTGACCAGGTGGCTTGCTTCATCGCGTCTGTCTGAGGCGTCTTACCTCACTGCCTTCTTCCTCCCAGCATTCTGTTCTGTTTACTCCACCCACCTATGTTCTAACCTATCAGGCCAAGCAGTTTCTTATTTAATTATCCAATGAAAGCTATAGATATATGACACTCCCACATCATGATCTTATCTTTACTTCCACGGTGCTGAGTGATAGTTCACTACTTTGCAATGTGGCCCCATTTAGATATTCTGGCATTACATCTGGCTTGCTTCTGACTCCTGCTGCTAGGTACTATCTCCTGTGCACTGTGTGCATATTTTTCTGCTCCAAATCTTCCTTTGCAGAAATTCCTAGGATTTTCTACACATCAGGTCAGCGTGTATATAACACTGAAAGTCTCAGCTGAAGTGCCACCCTTTCAGATATGTCCTAGGTATCCTGTCCCCTCCCTGCTGTTCCAGCTGCACCCTGCTTCAGAATTATGTCTGTGTTCTTTGTAGATATCCTTGGTTTTTGAGAAAGTCTTACCAAGTAGCCTTACTGGGCCTCCCAACTTGCTGTCCTCTTCCTCCCAGTGCTGGAATAGCAGGTGTACGCACCATTCCTACTTACAGCCCTGAGGGCCAGTCAGCTTGGCTAAGCACTTAGTGCCAAACCTAGATACCAATAAGCAAGCTTGTGCATTCTGAATTTGGATATGGCTTACATATCTGTGAACTCCCTTTAGTTAATCAAAACTTTAATGATCTCACTTAAAATTTTTTCCTTTTATGTGAATGGTTTTGCCAACATGTATGCTTGTGCACCACATGCCTGGTGCCCTTATTGTTAAAAGGTGGCTTCAGCTCTCTTGGAACAGGAGTAACAGACTGTTGTGAACCACCATGTTTTTGCTAGGAATAGAATCTGGGTCCTCTTGAAAAACAGAAAGTGCTCTTACCTCTGAGCCATCTTTCCCGCTACACCTCCCCACTGCCCCAACTCCACGAACTTTGGAGACAGTTTCATGTACTCAGAGCCCAAGTGGACCTCAAATTCAACACGTAGCCAAGTTTGCACCTGAATTCCTGATCCTCTTGCACCCACTTTCTGACAAATGGGATTATAGAAATGGACCACCAGGCCCAGCTAGTGTCTGATGTAGGTGGGTCTTGCTTGCTGGCAGGGACCTTGAAACACTGTAGAGTTGTAATAAAAATGGCTACAGCTGGTACATCCCCCTGAGGCTAGAAAGCTAAGGAATGGGCTGGATCCAGCCCTCAAAGTCATGGCTTTAATCCTCTCCATAAAGACTCACGTGGTCACAAAAAGAGAGATATATAGTAAAAGATTCAAAGTCGAAGAAAACCTCTAAATGGTTTACTATGTGTTAAAAAATACATACAGGCTAAAAGTTAAAGTTTTTAAAGTAAAAAGAGAGAGTAGTTAGGTGTGGTAGTACACACCTTTAATCCCAACACTTGGGAGGCAGAGGTAGATTGACCTCTAAGACTTCAAGGGGTAGAGGTAGATTGACCTCTGTGACTTCTAGGTGTGTCAGCACACACCTTTAATCCCAATGCCTGGGAGGCAGAGACTGCAGGATCTCTAAGAGTTCAAGGACAGTCTGGTCTACAGAGTTATTCCAGGACAAAGATATACAGAGAGCCTGTCTCAAAATATAAATGTAAAAATAAACGAAATAGAGGTTAAAATAAAGCTGCACAAAGATGGAAAATATATTGTTTCTAACTTGATCTATGCAAAACCAACTGCCTGTTCATCTATACAATTTGTTCTGACAAAGCCACACTATACCACTGAATAAACGATTAAGACTGCAGGTTTGCAGGGCATGGTGGTCATTTTAATCCCAGCTTTTGGGAGGTAGATGCAGTTGGCTCTTTGGGTTCCAGACCAGCCAGAATTGCATAGTAAGATGCAGGCCACTGGGCTGCAGTGAGTTCCTGTATTTAAGGAAGAGAGAAAAAAAAAAACACTATTAATAAAAGACAGCAGGTTGGTATGTCTGTAATCCTGCACTTGGGAGGCACTGGCAGGAACAAACATTTGAGACCAGATCAGGCTTCACAAAAACCCTGTCTCTAAACAGCAAAGCCAGGATTGGATGGCGGAGGAATCTTTATTTTGCTTATCTTTTAATATAAAATCTACCTACCTTCACTGGGCGATGGTGGCACACGCCTTTAATCCCAGCACTCGGGAGGCAGAGGCAGGCGGATCTCTGTGAGTTCGAGACCAGCCTGGTCTACAGAGCTAGTTCCAGGACAGGCTCCAAAGCCACAGAGAAACCCTGTCTCGAAAAACCAAAAAAAAAAAAAAAAAAAAAAAAAAAAAAATCTACCTTCAAAATGGGCTGCTTTCCAACTAGCACCATGAGCTCCAAACACGAGGCAGGAAGAATGTTTGTGAGAAGTGTGTGTTCACTCTACTAGTGCAATGCAGTCCTCTGCCAGGTGCAGAATCAAGCAACCAGCCATGATAAAGCTTTTATTTTTTTTTTATGGGGGGAGGGAAGGACACAGAGTCTTACCATGTAGACCAGGCTGGCCTCGAACTCCAGAGATCCTCCTGCTTCCGTGTATTGGGATTAAATGTCTGGTTCCCTCCACCCCCATCGGATACTCCCTAAAAGTACAACAAATTCAAAATTAACAGGTGTCTCCAAGCTCTCAGAATTACATGCGGTTTCCATTACCTGTTTCCCTTCCATTTCCAGTCTAGATCTTTAAGATAACGACACAAAACGGGAGTTATTTCTCCCGAGGCCACTGAAATACAGTGCGCTAAACTCGGAGCCCGCCCTCCCACTCCAACGTCTGCAGGAGAGCTCCGCGCCACCAAGGGACAGGAGACCCTGAGCCCTAACACTTGACATCCTCCGTTTCTTGGTTTGACCCAAAACTCCAGGTGACCTTGGTGCTTCCTTTCCTCCTGGGTTAGGAGTTTCTGTTTTCCGGAACCAGAGCAGCAAAGCGAATGCGAAGGGAAAGACGCAGGCTGCAGCTCCGCCAGCTCGGGCCTGGCCGCCCCTCAGGCCGGCGACGTGAGCGGCGCTTCTTCCTGTGTTCGCGCCCGGTACGGATGCAGAGCCGAGGTGCCTGCGTCGCTGAGACCCTGGAGGCTCTCGCGCTCTGCGGAGGCGGCGGCTCTCAGACTTGCCCTTAGGTCCCCTCGGCGCGCGGGTCACATGGGGACACGCACTGCCCTGCAGACCCGCGCCTCGGGCTTCTGCAGCGGCGGCGGCTGCGCAGAGTTCCGCTGAGGTTCACGTAGCGCAGGTCTCAGTGCAACCGCTGCCCTCCTTAGCGTCCCAATGGCCGTTCCATCTTCTCGTTTCTGAGAGCAGAAGGCCTTCGTTCCACGCCGCCGCCCCGACGCAGGACAGAGGACAAGTCCGAGTTCCCGGAGCCGGCCGGGGCGCTTCCGACAGGAAGCCCCGCCCTCCGGGCCGGAGTGGGCGTGGTCTCCAGACAGCGTCTGTTGCCCCGCCCAACTGCCTCCCAACGGCTCTCTGGGTCCGGCTGTGCCGAGGGGCGGCAAGACCTGATAACTGCGCATGCCTGCACATGCGCAGAATCAATGGGAGTGGCTCTCGAGCCGGCCCCTTCCAAATCCAGCGTCTCCGCCCGCCCCCATCTCCCAACCTCCTCAGCGTGGCGCCGACGCTGCGTGCGGCGCGAGTTACCCAGAGTGCTCAGCGCTGGGGCAGCTCACTGGAGTTTGGTTCTCGAGGCGGCGGTGTTGGCGGCGGCTGCTCCTCCGTCGGCTCCTCCTCCTCCTCCTTGCTCGGCGGTGGCGGTGGCGGCGGCGGTGGTCCGGGGCCTGAGCTCCGGTCCCCTCCGCTTCCCTCCGTCTTCCGCCATCTCCCCTAGCGCCCCGACCTCCTCCGGCGCCGCGGGGAACATGCGGCTCCGTTCCCGGAGGCCGGCGAGTGACTGACCCGCGTCCCCCCGCCTCAGCCTGCCCGCCCGCCGGCCCGGCCGCTCCCCCCCGCTTGGCTCAGGCAATGACAGCGGCTCCGGCGTCTCCGCAGCAGATGAGGGACCGGCTGCTGCAGGCCATCGACTCCCAGAGCAACGTAAGTAACTGCCTCGATATCGGGGACCGAGGCCGCATGTGCCGGGACCCTCCCCCTTCGACGCACCCCCGACCAGGGGGGCCTCTCCCGGCGGCGTCCTGTCCGCCACAGTCGTTGCCATCTCGGCCTTTCGTTCTCCTGGGTCCGGGGGCCGCAGGCAAGGCGGGCAGCCCGGCGGCTCAGGGTACCTGAGGCCGAGGCTTCACGCGGCCTGGACTGAGGGATCGCTCGGGGTTGAGATCAGATGGCTGGTTCTCGGTTGTCTCAGCCTGACCGCCCTTGGTGCTCCCCACCGTGCCCCTCTGCCTCTCGACCCCGGGACTCGGGACCCCTCGGGAGGGTCTCCTTGCGGGGGTGGGGGGTATGGTGGGAAGCAACTAGTGTCCCTTCAATGGCTCGGAGAGCCCGCGTCTCCCGAGTCTCGGCCTTTCTTCCTCTTCAGTCTTCTGGCTGAAATCGCCTTCTTGGGCTCAGAGAGAACCTCAGGCCCTCCTTATCCCCAGCCTTGCAGCTTGGGATCCCTGGAGAGTCTCCTCTCTCTTTTTGACTACCTGGCTATAACCTCGGTTAAACTCTTCCTGGGGTCACAACTTAGGAAAGACGACCCTGAAGAAGGTGGGATCCTTTCTGTTACTTTTTTGACCTAAATGCACCATTGTATGTCTGACCAGTTTTGGTACTGAATTACTGTCCATCACAGTTGATTGTTCTCTCTCCCCTACCTTCCGGTTCTTTTTTCGTCTCTCTTGCCTCACCTGAGCAACGCAGCCTGATGCTTTGGTCTCATGGCTTTCGAGAGTTAGCTGTAAGGGGTCACTTTATGTCTCATCTCCCTCTGCTAAGGGTCCTATGATCAGAGGGGCAGCCTTTTCTTCCTGTATGAGCATCTCATCTGTCCTTGTGTTTTTTCCAAAGGTTTGTTGGCAATGTTGGGAGGGGGAGTCCTTGTTACAGGCAGGGGCAGGGCCATGGAAAGATGCACAGGCATCCAGGTATGAAATGCTTGATGGGAGACCAGGAAGTGGCTTTTGAGATCACTTTTTAATATGCTCGAGATGGAAGAAAAAAAGATCATCTTGGGCTTGGCCAGGTAACTGCAGATTGAGCAAGGAGGTTCTACCTATGCTTGACTTGTTACTCTTAGCAATGTGCTGTATTCTGATGTGTTGAGAAGAATTCACAGTGATTTGTGCAGTCTTGGTAGAAATGGAGGTGTCCTGATCTCTGTAAGAATCTGCTTGACAGATCCAAAGTAATTCTCGGCTTTCTGATCTTCAGACCCCATTAGGATCACCTTGATACTGATTTAGCAAATATTTTAGACATCTTTGGAGGTGGAGTAGGGGCAGGCTAGATAAACTCTTCTAAAAAGTCTTTTCTTATGGTTTTTTTTTGGGGGGGGGGGTCTAGTGACCGATGTTACTGCAATTACATGATTAGGATATTAAAAGATAAAACAAGTGATATGAAAACGTAGCTTCAGTGACTTTTGCATCTTTTATGAAGCCACAATGTTAACAGTGTAATTTTTTTCTTTCTTTCTTTCTTTTTTTTTTTTTTTTTTTTTTTTTTGGTTTTTTGAGAGAGGGTTTCTCTGTGGTTTTGGAGCCTGTCCTGGAACTAGCTCTTGTAGACCAGGCTGGTCTCGAACTCCCAGAGATCCGCCTGCCTCTGCCTCCCAAGTGCTGGGATTAAAGGCGTGCGCCACCACCGCCTGGCTGTACAGTGTAATTTTTTGTTTGTTTGTTTGTTTTGAGACAAGATGTCTCTGTGTAGCCCTAGCGTCCTGAAACTCACTTCGTAGATCAGGCTGTCTCGAACTCAGAAATCTGCCTGCCCCTGCCTCCCAAGTGCTGGGATTAAAGGTTTGCACCATCACCATCCAGCTTCCACAGTGTAATTTTTAAGTCCTGTGTATTCACTCCTTTGCTGAGAAATTATCAGGGATCTGACTGCTGCCTGGGAGAGTGCTGGGATCAGCAAGTGCTTTGACACGCCATCGTGATGCTGTAGATCACATGGGACAGGGACCTTGGGGGTCCAAATGCTAGCTAAGGCTCTGACTAAAAGGGTTCTTCTGGAGGTGTAAGAAAGAAGATAGCTGAGCGGTGGTGGTTCACGCCTTAATCTCAGCACTTGGGAGGCGGAGGCAGGTGAATCTCTGTGAGTTCGAGGCCAGCCTGGTCTACAAGAGCTAGTTTCAGAACAGGCTCCAAAGTTACAAGAAACCTTGTCTCGAAAAACCAAAAAGGGGGAGGGGGGCAAATTTTAGTTTGTTTCTTTCTTTTTTTTTTTTTTGGTGGGGTAGTGGGGAGCAGGGGTTAAGACAGAATCTCTGGAATTCACTATGTATGTAGACCAGGCTGGCTTCACAGAGGATCTGCTTGCCTCTGCCCTGGGATTAAAGGCATGTGCCACAGTGCCTGGCCCCCAAACTTAGCTTCTTGAATCTTTTCTTACTATACTCATTGGGTTGTGGGTAAGGTTCTTGGAGTGGAGTATATATCTCAAAGGACTGTAGTGATAAGTGACCTCATTGTAGTAGCTGGAGTTGAGGACTTGTCTCTGAGTGTCAAGGGAAGTTTTTCCCTAAATGCAGTATGTCAGTGACCGTCCATGAACACTGCTAGGTGTATGTGACAGGTGCTGGCTTTGCAGGACCTCTTTGTAGAACTCAGCCTGGAGGACAGTCCTTGATTTCTTCCTGAGGCATTGAAGGGTACCCAAGCATTTGCGCTTTCTCCAGATTGCTCAGGGCCCAGGTAAGAGCTGTGTGCTGGAACAGGGCTCTCTTCTTTGCTGTGCTCTGTTCAGTTATGAATTCTACCACTTGGTAATTGACACATATTTAAGTTGTTCATGGAAAAAATACAAAAATGGGGACAGAGTTGAAGAGTTAACACTAAAATTAACCCTCTTCAGAGAGAAGTGACAGAGATTGGTGTCATGTAACGCTTACCTTTCTGAGCATGCAATTATGGTTAACAAATTTAGCTGTTGCTGGAAAGTCAGTGCCAGGCAGCTGACCTACTGTCCACAGCCTCTGAAGTTGGGAATGACATCTGTCTGCCCAGCTCCTTGATCCAGGAGGCGTCCAGAGGAAAGCCATCTTTGCTCTGTGTTCGAGCCCCAAAGCAGCAAGCATTATCCTTTCTGCCAGGCCTGTATTTCAGAAAGTTCCTCTCTCCTTTCCAAAAAACCCCTAACAGACTTCCAGAACTATGAGAGCTTCAGTCACCTCAGTGTGTGTGAGCTCAGGGTGTTGATAGTCTCTAAAGTATGTTGCAGGTCTGCTTGTGTCTTTTGTTGAAAGTAAAGGTCAGTGGTATGACTTAATCTTTCACAGAAATCATAGTGAGTCCCCCTTTGGCCAGTGACAGGGTTCTTAGTCCTAATGGTGCCCTCCCTGTTTAAGGAAATCCTGGGCTGTGTCTTCCTGAGATGTTGGCTCCTTGTGGTTGTTCCATGTCTTGCCTCCTTTTCTAGAAAAGAGTCCTGACTCCTTTCTCCATGCTGGTTCAACTCTTGAACCTGTGACTCAAAAGCTGCCTTGAAGCCCCTGTTTTTTTCAAGAAGCCCTGGGACTGCTCCGTGTCCTCAAGGCCAGCTGGGGAAAGGCCTATCTGGAGCCTAGATGACAGAGAAAATCACAGGTGACTTGAGATGTGTCTGTGGGGAATGTGGGTGTGACCTTGTGGAGGGATAGTACAGCTTCCTGGAAAAGTAGTGGTCTAGGATGGGGCTTGTCAAAGCAGGTTTGTGACCCTGGGTCACAGTGGGAGGCCAGAGAAGGCTTGTAAAGGAGGACTTGATCCAACTACTGCTACTGCCAGACTCTGGAATAGGAGATCCCAGGAGCTGCTTTCTTCTTCTCACTCCAGAAGAAGCAGTCACCATGGCTGTCATTTGGAGCCACTTGCCTCTGCTGACCTGTAAATTCCTTGCTGCAAAGTAACTAGTGGGCAGTCCTGGAAGAGCTCCTTCCAGGCCTCGGTTCAGATCTGGGAGGGCTGCTGTGGTCTAAACGAGTTGTTCTGCAAGGCCTTCTCCTGTGTGCTTGCTTCAGGAATTGATGCAAGGTGGATTGTGTGATCTTTTCTAGCTGTTGAAGGACATAATGGACACCCTTAGTTAGTTTGTATGGCACCTGGCTGTTCTTCTCAACAGCCCCATAAAGGGAGGTGGGATGAAGCCACTACTTGCCTTTCTGATAGCCTAGTGCTAGTGGTGTTTGCTGTGGACAGGAGAGGACAAGATGCTTTTGTTTCTTACCAACTTCATGTAAGGTGACTGGACCAGAGTTATGGACTTACCCAGGGTTAAGTGACAACGCTTTTGACACTGAATAGTATTGTGTGTGGTTGAGAAATGGAGACATGACCTTGGTCAAGGCATAAAGGCAGGGGTGAGCTGGTGTGAAGAGCAGAGAGGCAGTTTGCTTTCATGCTGGTCTTGCTGCTACCCTGGCTCAGAGCATCCTTTGCAGTTAGCTCCTGTCATGTTGGGGTGTTAGCCTGGTGGAAGGGTGTCCTGAGCCTATGCTATGCATTTCCTGAGTAGGGAAGGCTGGACTGCTAGTCCTATGTGATTGGAGCTGGGTGATAGCATCGCAGGGGCTATTTCCAGTGCCAGTAGGCATGGAACTTTACCTTGTCTGTGCGCCAGCTTTGCTTTCTACTGCAAAGTGACAACTCTTAATACTAACTTAAAATGCCAGTGATCCTGCTGGAAAAAGGATGCAGGAACTGAGTGTGTCAGTCTGCTTGTTCCTGTGCAGTGGTATTCCTCTTGTTCTCTGCTGTAACTAGGATTCCGGAGAAGATCAGTGTGGCAGTTCTAACTTTGGGAAACAAGGTAGCAAATCTCACTTTGGAATCAGATTTTGTTTGACTTTTTTTTTCTCTGCAGAAGGTAGACTTTGTCTTCGGAGAGTATTTTAGGTGGTCCTCAAAGTTGGAGGTCCTACACTAACCTGGAAGGAAGGGACTTTTGTCCTGGAC